ATTTTTCTGAAGTAGTTTAGAATATCTTACATTAAATCTTTAGTTAAAGTACGTTTGTCTTATTTCAACCCTCTCCTCTAAAAAGCAAATAACAATAATTAGAATTTTTATTCAAATGCCCATTTTTGTTCCAAATTTGCCATGTTCATATCTCTTAAATACTTATAATAATTGTACGTAATTTTTTGAAACTTTTACACTTTTGAATTCTCTTTTTACAGATTTGTTTATGGCTTAGACTATTAGTTATGCAATCAGTCCCAGATGATTTATGATAATGTATATAATCGGTTCACAATTTGTAGATAGCTCACTACAAAGTGATTTTCGGTCTGATTTCATCCGTTGGAAATTTAATTCTTTTAAAACTTGCCACAGTTTGGTTCGCCCGATATGAGGCAAATCCGGGTCGCCTCAACTTCGTGTAAAATTTTGTTTAGGTTTGGTGTTTCTTTTTTGAAAAAAATCCATGATTTTTCCTTCGAGTACCATTTTTGGCAAATTCATCAATTTTAATAGGCTTCTTCCCTCCCTTTAAGTGTTGTTTGTATTTGGGTTAGCTATACCATGTTTTTTTCTTTCTGATAGGAACCTATATATAGTTGACTCCCTACGCCAGTCATGTTGGCACAACTTTCGACTATGTTGCGAACAGTGTTTATGGGATTCTGAGAAACCAGAGCATCTTGAACATTCAGGACAATAGTCTTCTCTCTTGGTAAATAGACTGACTCTACGCAACAGTACCAGTGTAAAACTTGATGAAGTTGACGATGAAGCCATCACAAACAATGCAACAAAACGAGCACGAGCGAAAGGTACGTATATGTTCGTAGGTATATGGAATAAAAAATCACTCACGCGCTGCATATAATTCGCAAAAGAAATATTTGTGACGCTAATTACTGCCGTAGACGCGGAAACACCGACGAGCCGTAAATTACATGCTATCAAAAACGTAGTAAACAAAAAAATTGTTTTCGTTTGTAATAACTTCACCCTTTCAAGTTAAGTTTCGAATATAAACTGAACAGACGAGGCACGTGGCCAAAGCCGCCATCGTTATACCCATTATATTATTAAAAATCTGGGGAATTCCATCCTAATTATCTTGCAACGAATAGTACCTTCGGATATGAATTCCAGGTTTTCTAGTAAAGTAATTAAACGCAAAGATTAGTATTGAAATATACAAAGAGATAAGGTATTCGTATTTACAAAATTGTTAATGGTTAAATTCTTATTTGTATTAATATAATATAATAACCAACACTAGCCGTGAAAGTTTTAATCGTTTTTTGTTAAATATATTAGTATTAAAACATTATTAATATTGATAAACATTCTGGAATGAAAAATAAATGTAAAACGCATTAATTTCAATCAATAAACACCTCAGGAACGCCTATAATAATACAAATTTTACGACCGTTTCATGACTTTGAGGCACATTTCGTGATCTCAACAATTTGTGAACGGATTATAGTTTATGTGTTGGTTATACATAGCTTTTTACTAAGTAAAGACTTTATTGTTTTTATATGTGTCTATTGCATCGTCTGTTACAATAAATATTCACCAAAGCTTAAGTATGTCTCACTTTACTCTCCTTGAAATAGTCTATAAATCTAACACTTGTACACACTTGCTGCATTAGATGATCTTTTTAATAAACTCCAACCTACATTTGAGTTTCAACATATCTGTTTCATCTTACAAGTAGCAAGTTGCTTTGTCTGTTACCATGTCATGCACTGTGAGGTTAAAGCTCCACAGCTGCCTCTTGTAGAAAGAAACTGAGGTGTTAAGTTAAGAGTTAGGCAGGAACTGTTGCAAGTCAAATGCATAAGCTCCTTTCGATTGATTTTCTTTAGCAATTGCCTTGTCTTGACTTTTCTGCTCATAAGAAAATTGAGCCATGTTATGATGTTCGTCTCTTTCGTCTATTAATTTTTAGATTTTAGCGTTTTAGATTCTTCTGATGACAATGTTATTTGTACAATAAAATTGTCACATTTGTGACATGTGTCATGCTTTGTTTTTTTTTTAAGCTAAAACCTAAATCACGAAAGGTTTTAGTGTAAATAGGTTGGCAAACAGAAAAAGCTCGTCCTTCCTTATACAACATTTTTGAAATAGTAAAATTGGGTGGTAAAAATTTTTCATTAGTTTGATTTCGACAATAGTGACTCTCGTAGGTGGGGAATGACAAAATATGGGACTTGACATTCTGCAAATCTTTGAAGCTTCATTAACTTAAAGCGAGGCCACACCTCGTTAGTCTGTTTCTATTATACCACTTACAGAATTGGTCTTTTTTCTATTATTAATTGGACAAAACCCTTTGCTTCGCCCAATATTTTTTGGAAACAATATCTGCGGACTTTTACTTGAATTTCCTGGCTTTTTCTCCTGTGCTTATTAGGGTTATTCCTAGATACTTAAACGCCGTCAACTTTTTGAAGTAATATTCATTACTCTCGTTGTTTTTGGTAGTCTGCAGTTGTGTGCCTTTATATGTGGTCTGTCCCATTTTGATATACTTTAATTTTTGCTCATTAATAATCAGTATATACTATTTAGCCTTCGTTTAATGGAATTAAAAATAGTGAAAATCCTTAGCAGTTCCCTTTAGTTCTTGCCACATTATCCGCAAAGGACATGATCTAGCTTCTGACTGGTACCTTAAATGTTACATTCAGATGAGTACTACTTCTGTAGTTTTTGAACACTGCTTTATCTCCCTTTTTATAATTGGGACACACTATTGCCTTTCTCCACGCTTCTGGCATTTCCTGTCACTTTCAGATTTTTGTTAGCAGACTACATAATCCCGGTTATAAGTGCTTCTTTCCTATGTTTGATTAGTTCTGCAGGAGTACAATTGCTGCGTCTACTTTTATTGTTTTTCATGATATATGATTTCTCTTATTTTCCTACGGAAGTCTTCATTGTTTCCGCCGTGAAGTTGACTTCCCCTACCTCTTGCTTCTCATTCTCTTCATCCGGTTCTTTATTAAGCATATCTCTGAAATGCTCTTGCCATCTATCTAGCTTCCTCTGCTTATCTCCTATTGGATGCCCTTCTTTACTCTTTTAGTAATTTATGTTCTTGTGCCTTTGTCTTTTTCTTGCTCGTTTTTGCCTCCTAGTAGAAGTTTCTCACATTTTGATTAATGTAATGTTATTCAATCTCTTTTTATCTTTTTTTTTTCAGCTTTTTATCCATATTGTTCATTTTCATCCTTCTACATACTCTTTTCTTTATGCATTATATTCATTTCTATTTTCATCACTTGGTTTGTTCATATATTTTAGTTTTGCCTTGTTTCGTTTGTTAAGCCTTTTCTTGCAATTAGCATCAAACCATTCTTAATATTTTCCCTTATTTACTTAACCTAACCGCTTTTAAGCTGTTTCCTTCATAGCTTTTTCTAATATTCCCCACACCATTTTAATATCACCTTAATTTTCGCTTTGAAGTAGTTTTGCTGTCACAACTGCTTGGAAGTTGTCAGCGGTACATTTGTTCCTTAGTTTGGCGACGAGCTTTTAGATAGTTTCTTTTAATTTCGTGATCATTAGTATGAGATCAGAATCCGCGTTTACCACTCTATAAATTTAAACTTTTCTTATTAATTTTGTGTGCTTACTTTTCACTAGGACGTTGTCGATTTAGTTGCGTGTTCTACCATCTGGAGCGATCGATATTTCCTTGTGAATTTTCTTGTGATCGAAGTAAGTACTTATAATTCATAAAATGACATAATAAACTGACTTTTATTGTTATTTAATGCTTCATTTATGTTATTGTAGAGTTCCTGTATTTTTTCGTTAACGTAAGTAATCTTTGAGGCGCAAACTTGTATAATTTGTACTAGTTGTCAGCTAAGACAGCAACTCTATCCAAGATACTAGTAGCTTCTACCACTCTTTGTTTAATTTCTGTCATGCCATTTCTTTTTGATTAGGAATACAATACCGCCTGTTCTGTCCGTTGATGGTTCTTAGTAGTAGAATGTGTTTTTGGCGCTAATTCCCATAGCTCTTTATGTCTTACTTCGCGAGTTTCTCTATCACGCATCATTTTATATTTTTAGTTTCTTTTTCTAGTTCTACAAGTGCGGATTGATGGATTGATCTGATAGATAGATGCAGTTATAGCTATAGAGGTTTATAGATAGAGGTTTATACTTTGCAGATCTTTAGCAACCTCTGCCCTCTTGGCTTGATCACGAAATCTACTCAGTTCAGGGCCATTTGATCCTACGGAGAATAGGGGGCCATGATTTGAATGTGTCGTTCATGTTAGGGGTTGTAAGGCATATTACGGTGATCACTTTGTTCCCTCCGGAGGTCAGGATTAAAGAGAGATACATATATCCTAATAGTTAAATAACAAAAAACAATCAGTCAAAAACTGGATTAGAATATAAGGTCAATATACAATTACACAAACAAAACATAAAACTTTTTTGATTTAAAAGGCACACTACTACGAAGAACCACTTGTCACAATATTGGAAAAAAACTACTACGAAGTCTGAGAAATCAACAAGAAAAGAATTTTAAAAAAAGAAATTGTGAAATAGGGGATACAAACAAGGTTGAATTTATATATATATATATATATATATATATATATATATATATATATATATATATATATATATATATAGATAAAAACTATTGAAATAAGGCCAAATCTACCCTTTTATTGATTTTGTTCTATCAGTTTTCACATCTTTTAATTGTCGATCGCACAGTCCTCAGCAGAATAATATTTCTTCATATATCAGTATCTCATAACTACGTTACTTTATTCGTTTATTTAATTTTCTACGAACTACATACAAAACCTAAATTGTAACAAAAAAAATTGTTTAACTTAATTTAAATTCAATACAGAAATACTGATATTTTCTCTATTTTTATTTTTGACACAAAACAATAAATCAACTCTAAGTTTCACAAGTCACAAAAGTCTCTAAAAATCTGGTCTATCTTCTTTGTCTGTCATATCTCAGCCTTATACTCAAAGCAGCACCTCCTGCAAGTCTCATGCCAACAATTAAACCCATTAAGCACATTATTCCTATTGTATAGCTTGCATTTTCCATATCCTTGTCCTTAATAAACTGTTCAGGATATACATAGAGGCAGAAATCCTTGGACTCACAGGGTAGTTTTCCTCTGTTATAGCCGAATATCGTTAGTACCAATCCTTCAAGAGCGTATCTGGGAAAGGAAATATCAAACATCCATTTAAGGTGGTGAGGACAGTCACGAAGTTGAACAAAGTATCCGGAAAACATGATGAATGGTAGAAGAAAGAAGGGACCTATAACTACGCCATTCTGAAATATAGATAAAAGTTAATTTTGTATTATCTTTTGTGTAAATCATAGAAGTGTATAAACATTTAAAATGTATACAACAATTAACTATAATAATGCTTTACTAAATATCACAACTCAATTCGATAAAATTATCATATATGACAGAATTAACTTTTTCACAACAAACATGTTTGCATATAACTCTCAATAAATCAAAGATTTTTACCATAATGAGTAGTGGGTATTATCGATTTTCATTAGGAAACACTATTTTTACAGAATATTATGTAAAGCAAGAAACGTATTTTTTACAACAGAGAATAAATATTTGTATAAAAATAATGCACTTATGACTAAATTTTCGATGCAGAGAGGGCGTGAAGATAAATAAATATTTAGTTTTTCATTTTCTTAGGTTTCAAGTAAATATGCATAGGTACGCAACATTTAATTTTAGTGATTTGTTATTTGTTCCGTATAAATTTAAAACCACATGTTTATTTTGTGGTTAACATATATTCTAACATTTAAAAAATATGAACACAGAGAAATTATCTCACGAATTTCTTTATATTCATAATTTGATTACAAATCACAATTATTGCTAATTGCTTACAATTGCAAACTAAGTTGACTGAAGTAACAATATTTGATTACTTATATATAGACATATATATCTTCTTCTTCAGCCTGTATTTGTCTAATGCTGGACATAGGCCTCTTCTATTTGCTTCCATTGATTTCAACACTTGGCAATTCTCATTCACTACTTACCCGCGACTTGTTTGATATCATCTGCCTACCTCTTCTCTGGTCTGCCTACTCCGCGCCTGTTGTCTCTTGGTCTCCAGTTTGTTAATTTCTCTGTCCATTTTTTGGGAATATCTCGGACAACATATCCGACCCATTGCCAATTGAGTCTTGCTATACGTTCTGCGACATCAGTAATCTGTGTTCTTTCACGAATGTCGATATTTAGAATCCTGTCTCTCAAACTAATCCCTAGCATGGCTTTCTCCATCGCTCTTTGGGTTGTACTGAGTTTCTCTAAGGTTCCGTTTATAAAGGTCATGGTCTCCAGTCTATATGTAATTAAAGGCAAGATACATTTGTCATAAATTCTACATTTAAGACACATTTTTGTATCTTTTTTTTTCAGGATACAGCTTAACTTGCCGTAAGCTACTTAAGACAATTGTGTGCGTCTTTTTATTTCGGCTATTTGGTTTTCTTTGTCGATTTTAATAGTATGTCCAAGATATATATAGTGGTCTATATTTTCAAGATTGACGTTGTCAATAACAATATTAGTTTGTAAATTTTTCATTATTTTTGTTTTCTGAAGGTTAATTTTAAGACCTATTTTATTTGGCTGCTGATTTAATTCCTTGAGCATTTGCTCCAGTTCCTTGATATCTGTACCAAATAATACTGTGTCGTCCGCAAACCTCAAATGACTTAAACGTACACTATCAATGTTTAAACCTTTTTGCTCCCAGTCGAGCTGCTTGAATACATTTTCCAATGATAAGGTTAAAAGCTTTGGTGAAATAGTATCACCCTGTCTAATACCTTTACCAAGACGCATTTTTCGGTTTTTTTGTCTTCATTGATATTGATGTGAAATGTGGCCTATTCATATATTTTCTTAATAAGTGTAATATACCGTAAGTCTATTCGAGCATCCCTCAGAGCTGACAAAAAGGACCAAGTTTCAATACTATCGAAAGCCTTGTGAAAGTGATTTAATTGCTATATATAGAGGTATTAGGACATTATATTCTGTGGTTTTTTACCAGTGTTCTGATGATTTGTAAGTAATCATTAGTACCAAACCCTTTCTAAATCTTACCTGTTCAACCGGTTGATATAAATCAAGTTTTTGTGTTATACGGTTGGTTATTATTCTTGTTAGCAATTTGTATAAGTGTTACAACAAACTTATAGGTCTGTTGTTTTTAATATTAGTAGTGTCTCCTTTCTTGTGTAAAAGTATTATTTCGGCGTTTTCCCACAGACTGACTATTCTTTTTTCTATTAGACACTTATTCAGGAAACTTCCACAACCTCTAAAACGATGTTGCCGCCCATTTTAACATTTCAGACGTTATACGATCCTCACCAGGAGCTTTTTTATTTTCCATTTGCTGTTAGGCATGTCTAATTTCCGAAGAAGTTACTTTAGGGAGAGTCACCTTATTCCCCTGTTGGTTTTTAATTTTAGTTATCTTTGATTTTCCTTAAGTTAAATTTGATTTCAATACTCTCATGTTTCTATTGTTTTCGATGGTTTGTAATATTTAGTTTGTTGATAGGCTTGACTGTTAAACATTGCGTAACAACACCAGTGGATCGGTCAAAGAAAAATAATCTGGTGAAACGGAAACACTGAATAACAGATGAAACTCTTAAAACAATTGAGAATAGAATAAATCTTTGTAAAAGTGGTGTACATAGTGAAGGGGAAAAAGCTAGTTTAAGAAACCTCAATAAAGAAATAAAACGAAGATATAAGGCCGACAAAAAACAGTACTATTAAAGTATATGCAAAGAAATTGAGAGACATGGTCAGAATAATCAGCCGAGAGATGTATTTAGAAAAATACGCTACCTGACAAGAGACTTTAAAGCTAGAACTTGGGCCATTGAAGATAACACTGGAACCCTGAGAACAAACAGAGAAGACATAGCAGAGACATGAAGATCGTATTGCAGGGACCTATATAAAGATGATCAACGCCAAGAGCTTGTTAGCCAAATCTCTGACGATGTGGAAGAAGAACCTGATATACTCGAAAATGAAGTACGACAGGCTATCAACAAGTTCAAATATAACAAAGCACCAGGTCCAGATATGATAACAGCAGAAATGCTTAAAGCCACAAAAGAAACCGGCGTAAAGTTACTTCATCTACTCTGTAACCAAATATGGCATTCCAAACAATGGTCTGAAGACTGGACAAAATCTACAATAACGACCATACATAAAAAAGGCAGCTTCCATAAATGCGACAATTATAGAACTATCTCTCTTATATCCCATGCCAGCAAGATAATGCTACATATAATCAATGAGAGACTGAAAACATTCCTTCAAAGAGAAATTCCAAAAGAGCAAACTGGATTTACCAAAGGTAGAGGCACTCGAGAACACCTGCTGGATATAAGATAATCGAGAAATCTAGGGAATTCAACATCCCACTATACATCTGTTTTATAGATCACCGTAAAGCGTTCGACAGGGTCAAGTGGAGACACTCATGGCGAATACTAAAAGAAGTAGGCGTACCACAACATCTAATTACGCTTATAACCGAACTATATGAACACACTACTGGATCAGTTAAAGTACTTGACACACTTTCGAACGAATTTCATCCAGAACAGGGTGTCAGACAAGGATGTATACTATCTCCACAATTATTCAACATATATGGGGAGTATATTATGCGAATAGCACTAGAAGGATGGGAAAAGGGCATCTCAATAAATGGTCATAAAATAAACAACCTACGTTTCGCAGATGACACAGCCCTTCTTGCAAATAGTCAAGCAGAGTTGATAGAACTTATACGACTGACCAAAAACGAAAGTCAAATATTTGGTCTGCAATTAAACATATCAAAGACAAAGATCATGATAGTGGATAGACTACACAACAATCATCCACACATAACCACAATTGACCGGTTCGAGGTTGTGAGCTCATACTTATATCTGGGATCATTAATCACAAACACAGGGTCATTACAAGAAGAGATTAAACGTAGATGTGATCTAGCAAAAGTTGCCACAGCAAAAATGACCAAAATATGGAAACACTGTCAAATTTCAAGAGCGATAAAGATAAGGTTGATCAACTGCTTAATATTCCCAATACTGACCTACGGATGTGAATCTTGGACTCTGAGATAATCGGAGAGAAGAAAGATAGACGCCACTGAAATGTTCTGTTGGAGACGAATGTTACGAATTCCCTGGACCGACCGCAGAATAAATAATTCAATTTTAAGAGAGCTAAAAGTTAGCCAGCGACTCTCTAGTAAAGTCCATCTTCAACAATTAAAATATTTTGGGCATGTTATGAGAGCAAACACAGAAAACATGGAAAGAATCATAATACAAGGAACGGTAGAAGGCCGAAGATCACGAGGAAGATCCCCAACAAGATGGATACATCAAATTACAGGAATATGCCAAAGACCTATGCATGAATTAAAAGAAATGACCAGAGACAGAGATCTCTGGAGACGGACAATACACGACATCACGTCGACCACTACACTCCCCCTGGGGGGTCAGGATTGAAGAGAGAGAGAGAGAGGCTCGAAAAGCTGACCCTATGCTCTTTTTAACTTTATTGTTGATAGCCTTATACTCTGGTGATTCTTTCGATGTTTTTCTTCGTTCTTTCATTAAATCCAGTATTGTTTGATTTAATTTCGTTTTTTTTTCGGATTTTTTATTTTTACCACAGATCTTTTTTGTAGTTGATGTTATGTCATTTGTAAATTTTTGTGTTATTTTATTTATATGTTTCGTGTTGAATACTGGTAGAGGTATTTTTAGTTCACTTTGATATTCTTCGTGATTCATTTCGAGTGCTTCTATGTTTGGTAATTTAGGTAGGCATCAGACTGCCCGACCGACCACGACCAACCGTCCGACCGACGGCGAACAACCAACGTTTGTATTTTTATTTTTAAACTCACATTACTCGTTTGTGTTCTATCGAACGACCGTTAAAAAGTTTAAGAGGGTGTAGCAATATAACCACATTTTTGTAATATTACTTCACCGGGCTTTTTGTAGAAAATTAAATTATGGATAGAATTAGCAGCGATAATTCTACTGACAAATTGTTTATCACTTATTTAATGTGGAGACGTCTTTGTAGGTGTAGCACAGTTTGGGTCCGTGGCATTTTTTTAAAAAATACCAACAAGGAGAATTCGTTGACAAGAACAAGGAGAATTCTATTAAATTTAGGTTAATTACAAATTTTGAAATGTCAATTG